CCCCCCCCCCCCCCACTCCGATAGGGGACTTCTCAGGCTTGAGGATTTGGCGGGGTGTGGGGGGATTACTTTGGGGAGGGCATTAAGAGCTTTAAGCTCGACAGCTCGCTGACATCATTTCCTACTGTACATAGTACATGTACATAGTACATACAAATTCGATTGAATAGGCATCAATTTCGGGAAATACATTTAATTAATAGAAAATCATGTTAAGAAATCCACTGGATGGAACAAACAGAAGAGACAAAAGGAGGTCATTAACAATGAGTGAAAATCTCTAACAGAAATAGGCTTGAGATCTACCTTTAACTTTAGGATAGAGTGGGGAACAGGCTTTGATGGAATTCAACCAGTCCATGATTGATCCATTCATTAGCCTTAAATCAATTAGGGGCCTTTCATTGATCTGTATAAAACCGTGGTATGTTGGGAATAAGCATTTGATATTCCATTATTTAAAAGCATATTCATTTAGTGGCTGGACTAAAGGAGTTACTAATAATGGGTGAGTTTTAAATACTCCCATTCCCTAAATTTTTTTAAGATAGTATGCCCTTTCCAAAAGCCTCTTATGATATGGGCCTAGTACAGAAATATATAAAAAAAATATGTCAGTATAGAATTGTTAGTAATAGCTACTATGTTTTTTTTATTAATCAGTTGTATTGTAGAACTGTTAAAATATAAGACTTGCAAATAGGTATTGAGTAATTTTACTATGCGAGTTACACATTATGCATAAAGTTTTTTTTTAATACACAAAAATTAGAATACCTTTTAACTGATAGTATCTTAAATGAAGAAGAAAGCAAGAGAGAGTTGGGATAGAAATATAGAGGGAAAGAAAAATATTATAGAGTAGAGAGCTGTAAATGTGTACCAATAAAATGAATAACTTTTTAATTGTATAGTCCTTGAATTCTTGAGCTAGGAGTGTTTAATTAAAATACTGTTATCATAATAGATTAGTTTGCTTCCAGTAACTTACAAAAAATGTCTTTAAAATAGTATTCATTAAATTTAAATATTTGAATGCATACTTAAAAAATAAAAGTTATTTTAAGCTGCTCTCTATTTTTTTATTATATTAGTTAAAGACATATTTTACAGTGAGTTCGATCGTGTTTTAAATAATAGTTAATATAATAATACAATGAAGAAATCATGGGGGGGTTGTATTTTTATTTATTCCTTTTAATTTTTTTTAATTTTTTATTTTAAAGTATAAAAGTTTAGACTAGGAGTATGAGATGACTAATTGTAATTTCATTAACTAATAACTAGATTAAATGTAACTAAACAATCTCATCCCATCATACTGCTTTTTATCAGTAAGTAAATTACCTGCTCTGACGGGGGTCTTGAGGGTGGACCGATAATCTGACTTTGAGTTTGGCTCAGCGTTTGATGACTGCTCCGATTACTGTTGAAGTTATTATAGTTCGTCAATGTATTTCGACTCATGGTTAAACTTTGTTGAAAACACACTGGTGGGCACTCAGAAATATTATTTCATTATTCTAAATTGTTACAATGTTCGTTTATAAATAAAAACAAAACAACAAAGTCGTCAATCCACAGACTTTTGAATTAAAAACATCACAGGGCGGTGGTTTCCAAGTAGCCTCGAACAGACGCCAACTTGTTGTGAGGTGGTCACGTGACGACGCACTCCGGTAGAGGAGGCTACTGAAGAAATGTTTTAAAACAGACGCAGTGGCTACGATTGCTGGAGTTATCTTTATTGATAATTGCCTATTACAAGCATTTGAATAATGATTATGCTTCTTCTCTTCATTATAGTGTTTAAAAATAATAAATTAGATTTCAGCAATAAAATTTGAAGATCTCTATCCCTATAACTGTAACCATTTCTAAAATTATTATATTTTTTTAACAGAAGATTGTGCAATGCTTTCATACTTACAGGTGCGTAAAGGAACTTGCTGTGGTATTCTCTGACGGCACTGACGCTGGGTGAGTCCTATCCGGAAATTTGTTTGAAAGAAATTTCGTCGACGGAAAATTAATCGACGGAAGTTTGGTCGAACGGAAATTTGATTGATTTTTTTCTTTTTTCTAAATGTTCACACTATCTAATTTTGCGTAAAATTTCTTTTTGAACGCATTCTTTTTTTTTTTTTTTTTTATTTTTTTTTTTTTTTTTTTTTTTTACTTTATTTATATTATAGTGCGTTCAAAAAAAAACTGTTAATTTGGTATTTGATTTATTTTTTTCTTTTTTTTCAATGTTCTCACTATCTAATTTTGCGTAAAATTTCTTTTTGAACGTTTTTTTTTTTTTTTTTTTTTTTATTCTTTTTTTTTGTTGTTGTTGTTACTATATGTATAGTATAGTGCGTTCAAAAAGAAACTGTTCATTTGGCGCATACATACATTTAGTTTTGCATAATAGGCCCCTGCTTCACTTAACCGTCTGGCGGCTAGCAACACAAAAGATGCTAGTTGAAATTCATGTTCAATTGACCATGCATGGTCTACATAATTTATTTTAGTTGCATCTAAATAGTAATGCTGTTTCACAATTTTATTTGAAACTATGTAGGCATATTTGTTTAAACTAATTCATTCGTTCGTTGAGGGTTTAGGGTGGACACACCAATCAACGCAAAAATTACGCATTATGTTGCTCTCTCTCTCTCATCCACCCTATTAAAGCTAAATACATAACCGTTGTGTTGCCCCTATGATGGCTTTTTGCCCTTGCTTAGTTTTACCCCTGGTCCCTGGCATTATTATATTTGTCCATTGAACTTTACATACGGTAATGTACCAAACTATGGCTTAACCACGACCAACGAGAACTCTAATGGGTCATGGTCAAGGCAATTTAGAGAAAATACCCGGTGAGTCCAATGTATACAATAAAAAGAAAAAAGAGTTAACTTTTTATTTTCCATAATATATGCCAGCCTTTAAACAATAGGTCTACAGACAGTCACACACCCTACCTACCGGCTTTTAAACTTAAACAATTAATATAATATTCGCCCCCCAACCAAGTATCCAATAGACCATACCTTGGAATTCTCTTCTCAAATAACCTAAAATGGTCACCCAATATAAACAAAATTTCAAAAAAGCCAACTCCACCCTAGGTTTCATCCGAAGAAATCTGCGCCACCGCCCAGCTTCCTGCAAACGAAGTGCCTATCTCGCACTCGTCCGTCCACTACTGGAATATGGTGCGATCATCTGGGACCCACACCTTAAACAAGACATGGACACGATGGAGCGAATTCAACGTAACGCGGTGCGTTTTATTGCTCGAGACTACAAATCCACCACTCCTGTCTTCGTCACTGGCCTCTTAAAAAAGATTTGACATCCCACCCCTTAAAGACAGACGAGAGGGACTCCGCCTGGTACTGTTATATAAAGTGATCATGAGACTAGTGCCGGCCATCCCAGCTGGCACGTACCTCACCCCTCAGGAACCGGGTAGATTGATCAGAGCAAAACGCTCACTGAACACGGAATTCACCACTGACATTCCCAAAAACAATTACACCAGAAACAATAGCAAATGCTTCAAAGTGCCTCAGTGCAACACAGTGCAGTATCAACAATCTTTCTTCCCACGCACAATGATAGCATGGAACCACCTGAACGATGCCACTGTGAACTCGACATCAGTCGAAAGCTTCAAGGCTGCCCTGGCATCAGCTAGGAGCTGTTAGAATAGCAACATCGTACCCTCAACCGTTGCAAAGATGCCAGTACATGGATGCGGCAACGAAACATTACTAGAACCAGAACCTCTAAAGAAAAAAAAATAAATAAACTATTTACACGAGTTCAAACTCACACATGACGCTCTCTGCGTGACAGCCTTTTTTCCACTCAGTAGGCCTACTATTGATATAAAACATGTGGAGTTGGGGGAAGGGCTGTTCTGAAGAGGAAGCAGACATACCAGAAGCAAAATATATAAGAGAAATTAAAAGAAAAATAACACTTATGTCAGTTCAATAATATAGTTTTATTTAATAACAAAATTATAAAAATTGAATGACATTGAAACGATAATGTTACATAATAAAATATTAAAATGTCTCCCCCCCCCCACCCCAAAAAAAAAAAAAAAATCTGCTCTTATAGATCTATATTTCAAAATTTGAATCCAATACTTCGAAATTATATTTCGTTTCATTCTCTAACTTTTAACAATGTTAATCAAATTAGAGCTCTCCTAGTCAGAAAGCAATATTTAATCAAAATGGCTTCTAAAGTGACCGAGAAAGCCTTGAATCTAATAAAAAGTTTGCCAAGGGTAGCGATAAGCAATGTAAAAGATCTACCTGGCACATTATACGTAAGGAAAACACTATTTATAATTGAAAATAATCGCTTCCATTTGTAAAAACGGAGAAGCATGTCCATTTTTAACTCTTCTCTTATTAGTAATCAGCCTTTTATTAAGGGAAGACCTGAGGGCGAGGGTTATTCCCAGCTGACTGCGTATAACTCTCAGGGTTATACGCAGTCGGCTGGGAATTTAGCCAAATAAGGTTTATTATCGCTAGTTTGGCAATAATTTAAAAAAAAGTATTATGCATAATTAGCCGCATTATGGATTGTTTTGAACTATAACTTTTAATGTGTTTAACTTAAAAGTTTAATTGAATTAATTTTAATTAATATTGAATGATAGTAGTATTAGTAAGTATTAGTAGTATTATTATTAGTGCTATTATTAGTATTATTGCTTGTATCTTATATATATTATAATTATAAGTCAAAGTCTACATTTCTTAGAGCCTAAGCCTAAGAAGATGATTTTTTTTTAAGGCATTTCCATGGTCTAAGTCTAGTTCTGTATTCTGATTGATTAGGTTTTTATATGTTGCTATGACCATGTGGTTGGTATTACGGACTAATTCAGGAAACACATTCTATTTATTTATTTTTTTAAATTATATCATTTATGATTTTTTTTTTGGTGACCTAAATGTAACAGTTTTCAGCTTCCATGCAAAACTATAACTGTGTGAAAGTATTACTTACAGTGCCCCCTCTACAGAACCCCCTGCCCCTACAGCTAATTTTTACTGCTACTCTCCACCCCTGATTATAATTACTGTAGCAGAGAAACATTATTTTATATACCACAAAATTAGTTCAAAACACAAAATATATATTTGATAATTATAAGAATAACATTATTAACATTACATTGGTCAAGTTAATAATTCTTATCATGTTTTAACAATTTTTAGCCAAAACAAAATAAAACAACAAGCCTAACTGTTTTTTGCTTCATTCTCGAGAACAAACATAACAACTAACACGTATTCATTCATGGCTGGCCTTTGGCTGGAATTGAACACAAGTCCACCAACTTGAGGTTTGCTCAGTTTATACCATTCGACCACCCAGTCACCCTGATGACGTAGCACCTTTATCAATTGATAGTGTAACACAGGAAGAATATAGACCTCACGTGACTTGCCGACTGCGTATAACTCTCAGGGTTATATGCAGTCGGCTGCGCATAACCACTTCGTTTTATTAATATTTCAACTTGAACTTCACAGCCACAACTGACTTTAACAGAGCAGATGAGATGCCGATGATAACCTTATTTCTAATACGGCAATTGTCCTTCTGACTAAGCTTCTCATCTATTCCTACCTTTGTAGTACTTAGTACTACTACTTATTTACAAGGTGGAACTACTTTAAAACACTTCAATAGTTTAAAAAAACAATTATTGAATTATGCAATGTTTTCGGATAAGTCTGAAGACTGATACGTTTAACAAAAAAATGTAGTTTACATTATTATTTACTATACTTAAAAGTTTTCTGTGATTTCGTTATTAAAATGGGGACTTCCACTTTTTAATTTACAGAGAGTCTAGTTATTTTTTATTTTTTTGCACTGGATGTACATTCTAAAATTATCTATTATCGATAGACGTTTTTTTTAAATCTAGCTACTAGCATATTACTATTACTAGGGACCTCGGTATGATCCGCGAAGTGCCGAAAACCGGGTATCATGATTTCATTGTCAAAATGGTGACCTCCACTTTTTAATTTACCGAGGGTAGCGATGTTTCAGATTCTTTTTGCTAAAGTTAGTTTTGTTAATAAATTTTACTGCCACCCTCAACTTAAAGCAGACATGTTTGTTGTTCATTTGACACTTTTGACAATTAATGGTAAATAAAGCAAATTATCTTATTCATAATTTTTTTATGGAAAATATAAGTTTCAAAAAAAAATATACCAATGTTAGATAAAGGCATAAATGACAACATATCCAAAAATTCGTGAGGTTAGGACCTGTGCATGGGTGAGAAATTTTTGCACAAAATTTTTGTCACGTGTACCAAAATTACCTATTATGGATAATTGACATTTTTGTAGTAAGTAACTTGATTTACACTGGAAATACAGCATATTACCCACTAATAACATTTTAAAACAAAGCAACAATTTAACAGCACCAGTACTTTTTATCTCATGCTTTTATTTTGAGTGGGGGAGTGGGATGAATATCCCTAGCCTTATTGTTATTACAACTAAAAGTATATAATATATATATATATATATATATATATATATATATATATCCATCCTATGCCTAGTATAGTATAGCCTATAGTATAAACAAGAACAAAGTACAGAAGCTCTTCATTCCTGCCGAAGACAATAGGGGACTGGAACAAGCTTCCAAAAGCAACAGTTGAGGCGGCTACACTCGATACATTTGTGTCTATTGCCTCCTGTATTCCAACCCCCAGTTCATAACACCACTGCTGAGTCGCCCTTGCAACCAGTGAAGTATCCCATTGAAACCCATGGACAGTAACATCGCAAACCCCTCTGAAACATAGGAGCCAGAATGATCAATTCATTGATCGTGGGCCCTTAAAATAAAGAAGAAGAAGAAGAAGTATAGGCCTAGCAACATCCCAACTTATTATTGCAGGACCTATTAATAAACTATTATAATTATGAAATTTTAAATTTTTAAAATAAAAATGTTTTAAAAAATATTCACTTACCTTTGATATTGAAATATCCTGTATTCACTCACAAATCACAATATACCACAAGAAAATTATATAATTCTCAGTATTCTTCAAGAAATAACACACTTTCTGATACAATAATCCAAGAATTTCTTAAGATATTACTGAAGAACAATCATAAAAGCTTGTACTTACCTCAAGCAAATTACCAGAACTTATTTTAATTGCTATCAACATCCAAAGTTGATATATGTTGATTTGTGAAACAAGATTACTAAATTTTTTTTGGTCATATTCAAATAGGACTAAAATACATACATAGAAAATGGTAAAATAAAAAGTATAATCGTCAATTTGTATTTAAGTGAATCAAATAATCCCTGTATTATTTGTTTATACTGATAAATGTTAAACAATTTCACAGAAAATGTAAAATTAATACCTGAAGAACATTATTATTATTATTAAATAAGGGACATTTTTAAAATTTCTATTTAAATATATTAATTAATTAATACAAATAAGTGACGAGTCAGCATATTTTATTCATTTTAATAAGGAAAATTATCAAGATTAAAAATATTTTTTTGTGGAATATTAACAAAAACTAAAATTGTATTTTGTGACTTTATTTAGAAGAACTAATATTTAACTGTGTTCTCTGAAAATATTATATTTTTGTCTCATTTTATAACAAAGTTATAGGCATACAAACAATAGCAATATGAGGGTGACGAAATGTGGAGGAAAATCCTAAAGTGAAAAAGTGCTTTTGAGGTCCTTACTAAAAAATTCATAACTTTTGTACCGTTTGAGCGAGAAAGTTGATCTTGGTGTTTTTTGTAAATTATTCTATGTGCTCTATACAACTGTATTATTTTTATATTTTTAAAAATGTTTTGAAATTTTGATCAAAGTGCCTAGTATTACTATTACCCAATAAAAACTCATTTTAACTCTTTTGATGCGGAACAATGCACACTGCGTTCATCCGCCGTTCTCAAAAGCATGGATCAACACGCTGTGTGTTGTTTCAATATCATGTTTGTTTCTTTGCTATATCTCGGTTAAACTTTTTAAGAGCTATTTTTACATAAGTTATCCTTTGTATAGTGACAAAAGAGATTTTGTTAACAAAATGTTGTTGAGAGAAAAATTACGTATCCGAAACAAAGATTCTGATCCTTTACAGATTCTTAAGCATATATTCTAAAGAAAGAACTATGTCATACAATTATTTTCTTGTAAAATCCATGTTGCCTTCCTTTTGTGTTCTTTTGATACGTACTTCCGGCTGCAACAAGATGGCGGAGAAAAAAAATTCAAAAGAACACAAAAGGAAGGAACATGGAAACCATTCTGTAGGCTCTATACAGCTGTAGTATTTTAATATTTAAAAAAAAAATTTTCATCAAAGTGCCTATATAATATTATAATATAACTTTGTGTTATATTTTCAATGGCAGTGTCAAGGTTTTTAAAAGTATTTTTAATTTCTGATTTCTCCTTGTATATCCTACCACATCATAGTGGTGCAATGAATAACAAAAGATGCATGGAGGGTACTTTTTAAGTTTTTTTTATCTCATACAATATGTTTAATAGTGTTTTTTGTGTAACAAAATGAAGTATAAAACTAGGGATTCCAGGTTTCCCCAGACATGTTCTTTTTAATTCCCCGGTCTGGGCGGCTCTCCACAAATATGGCTTTTGTCTGGGTTTTTCCCCTGTCCATCTCTGATTGATACCTTCTTACTTACTTTTCCATGTTAAATACTATTCTGTTCTGTGAACTAAACAACCGTGCAAGCAATATTTTTTTCAATGGTACCAGTAAGAGTTACAAAGATAACCACAAAAACTTCAGGTTCCAGTAGCCATTTTTGTAATTATACTGCATAACGATAAAGTAAATTCATGATAATGGATAAATAATTAATTTTTCAAGTTAAATTTTTAAAAATGCAGAAACAGAAGTATTTATCTACAGACGCACTGAAAGCCCAATAGCCAGGTTTTCATGCAGGTGGAAATGACTGGGCAGCTAACTGTTTGACATGAGGCAGTGGAACTTATATCTCCATTGCTAATATGGGTGCACTGTATTTAATTGCGCTTGTCAAAACTCTGCAGAATTTTAAGAGTGTCCTCGGAGAAACTTCATCTACCAAAGCTACCAAATTTTTCATAACACCAGGTTTGAAAAGTGATGAAACTGTTCCAGCAGCTGAAGGCATATTGTGTTTCACGTTGTCAGGCACCATCACAGCCAGAAATTAATGGACTGCAGATGTCACTTATTAAAAACAATTTTACCTGATTCTGATATTGCATGCAAAAATCAGTCAGTGTAATGTAATGTGAAGTGATGAACACTCACTTAATAAAATTTATAATTGAAATTATTTACCAAAAAAACAATATTTCATGCAGTTAAAATTTAAATTTATTTGTACAACACTTAACTTTAGCATAGCTATAGGAGCCAGCTACGGTTTGGTACCATTTGCTCTAAATTTGAACTTAATATGCTAAAATAAGAAATTATTAGCATATAGTTATATAGAGCAAACTTTAAATTAGAAAATGAAACCAAAATCAAATAACTGGGTTTAAGGGCAGTCCATTAATTATGTCAACAAAATAGGGAGGGTGGAGTTTGACAATTGTCGACAAGATGGAGAGGGTTCAACAGAAAGGGATATCAACAATTGTATTTCTCTTTGATTATATTTTATATGTTTGGCATCTATCTGTCATGAGGCAATGATTGTGTAGACTTTGCAGGACATAATCACAAGGCCTAGGATTTTTCTTCAGAAGGATAATCTGGTTCCCTAGTCAGCAAATCATCTCTCTCGATGCATCAGGTGAACCCAAACAACATCATTTGTAGATGATATAGCTTGGCACCAGTAGTGTCATAGGAGTTGTCAAATGTTTGAGTTAATGTCATACCGCCTACTGTACTCCATCTCCGGGTTCGAATTCAGTGTTTTCCTTCTCTTAGACAAGTTGCCATCCAAGGTTAACCAGTCCCATCCACCTGGGGTCCTGGATATCTTTTTTTTGTGTGGCTTGTCTAAGTTTTTTCTGGGGATTGAACTCCAATCAACTAGTTTGGAATTGATGCAATTTAGACTGCACATAATCCTTAATAGGCCTCCAAAATTTGTTGTTAATTTTAATGGCTTTAAAATTTCGTATAATATTATCATTAGGTGGTTTTAAATAGCACAGTACCCCAGCCTATGGCTAGGCTCACAGTGCTTCACATAAAAATTATCAATTACAGAAACTTACACATTTAAAAACAGCTATTGGTAAAAAAGCTTGACCTCACCCACCCAAGTACTATCTACCTTTGTCTAGCCATGAACAGCACCCATTAGAAATGAGTGTTAAATATCAATCAGAGGGGGTTGAGAATGAGTCTGTATAGTACAGTTTAAAGAGAGGGGTCTTGAGGGCAGTTTTGGAGACTGTGATGGTCGTTATATTGCGGATGTGTAATGGGAGAAAATTCCATTGTTTTGGGACACAGAAAGAGAAAGATGGTTCACCATATGTTTTATTGCTTGTTCTGGGAACAGGAAGAATATGCATGTCTGTGGAGGCATGAAGCTTTGGAAGGGGTGAATAGATAGTAAGAAGTTCAGTATGATATGAAGGGTAGGAACCAGAGAACAGACAGCTTGTAATCAATAATGTGTTATTGGGCCTAAGAAATTACCAACTGCTCCTTCAAAAAAAAAAAAAATAATAAGATGTGGTTGATGAAAGACATGGAGAGGTGATAGCAATTATTGCACAAAGAGAAAATACTGGTTAGACTAGACAAGGATGATGTCATCCAGTTCCATGATAATATTAATTTGGACATAATAAATTATTAAGTTAATAAGCATAATAAATAATTAAGTTACTAATTCTATTTTCCTCACCTACGTGAAGATATAAAATGAAATAATATTTAGACATTTTCAATTCTTTAATGAATTCTGCAAAATAAAATTCACTCTAGTCATAGATTGTTACAAATGTAAAATTTGTTAAAGAAGATGTTAAAAATGTAATAAATTTGTTGTAGTCCACCAATTTGTATATCTTAAGGATGAAAAAATATCAGTATTTAATAATTTATTTTCTTTGGGATGAGGAGGTTAAACAATTGTTAACATAATTAATGGGGCGGGGGGGGGGGGGTTGTCTTTGAAATATGTAGTTGGGGGGGGGAAAGGGGTTCAAAAATTGCTTAAAAATTGTGGACGGCCCCTTAATTATTAATAGTTATTTTATAATGCTGACACTGCCTTGTTTTTTTCTTTTTTTTTTATTTTCATTTTATAAATACTAATGTAAACCATTGAAATTACTTCTTTAATACCTGTTGATTGGTGTTTTAACATACATAAAATATGTATGTTATTCTGAAAAAAACATAATGATAGGAATGACAACTTAAAATATTATTTTCCAGTTTTAGTCCTAGCTGCTTCTATTTTATGTTAAATTAAATTGAACTCGGTATAACAGTAGTCCTAACAGTGGTAGGAACTGGAAGACAATTATTTGTATATATTATCAATACATCTTTGATAATTAATTTTGTTACTGTCATACTTTTAAATTGAATGTCCTTTTAAATGTTTTATTTGCAATTTGTGGTTTATTTTTTTTATCAGAAAAAAAAAACTAACAGGAGTGCTGGTAGAAAGAAAAAAGGAAGAGGTGACAAAGGACAGGGAGCACGTGGTACATTGGATCCACTTGGTTATGAAGGAGGACAGCGGCCTCTTATTGATGCTGTTCCTTCTGAGAAATATTATGGAAAATATGCGTAAGATTTTCAATGCACATTATAACATGAAAAGTGATTAATTACAGGTATTCCTCACTGAATCTAGTCTCACCTTACATTATTTTATCAGCAATGTTGTTTCCACATTGGAATCAGTCTATTTGGCTGAGATGAATTAGGGCATAAAATACAGAAAAAATATATAACACTAAAAGGGAATTTTTAAAAGCTATGAACCTAATGTGGGCTCCATCAACATTGATGAAGTTAACGAAATTTCTGACTGAACTTTAACAAGCAGAAGAAAGCAAACAAAGAAAATCAAGGATATTCATACAGTTCAGTGCAAGGAGTCCTGGATGGTTTGAGTAATTCATAATGTCATAGATTTTATAACTTGCAGCGGATAATGCTGTCAGCGTTATAAGTAGATTATATGCCAAGCAGGTCCTCAAACCTTGCTGAAAACCTAGCAGCAGAATGTTTCCATCAATCTAAGAGAAAAAATCCATAGGTTCAAAGGTTTTTTTTGTTTTTTTTATTACTGGTAATCTCATACATGTTGATATGAATCAACCTGCACCTTGTTTTCTGAGAACAAACTAATAGTGTAATGTGAGAGAGATCTGTAATAAATGTTACATTCTCATTGGGGTCATTTGAAACTTTAAAAAATAATTGATATATTAATAATTTTAATTTTTAAGCCCAGCCAACGTATTATAATTGTCTTCTTTTATTTAATTCCTTCAATTGAATTTTTGTATATTTTCCTGTGTTGAACAGAATCAGACGCCAGTATCCACCAATCAGTCTTCTTGAAATCCAGAGACTTATAGACCTAAACAGAGTTGATGTCACAAGACCCATTGATGTTTCCAGCATATGTAATACAAGACTCTACAGCCTGGATGTAGCCAAGAATCATTTTGGCTTTAATGTGACTGAAGAAGTAAAATATTTTTAATTAAATTATTGTTCTGTAGTATTAGTTGTGTAATTTTTCTGGCCAAGGAACTGCTGAATCAGGCGCTATTATTGTGACATTAGTGTTATAATTATTGACTAATGGATTTTTTATTTTTTATAGGGATGTGATTTATTTGCTTCAAAAGTAAACCTAGAAGTTCAATGGGTGACTGAACTAGTTATTGCTGCCATAGAGAAAAATGGAGGAACCATAACAACACGTTACTATGACCCCCAGTGCTTGGCTGCACTCTTTGACACGCAGGCTTTTTTTGAGAAAGGTCAGCCCATTCCTAAGTGCAAACTCCCTCCTCAGGTATTGTATAATTTATTTATGGAATTAAATCATTATTTTCCTTTTACAATTTTTTTTTCTTAATACTCAATTTTATTTCAAAAGCTCTTTGTTTTGATTTTGTAGCGTATATTTATCAATAAGTACTCAATAGTATAATTTAAAGTTCTCTTCTTAGCAGCTTAACCTACCCGATATATATCAGAAATGTCTTTATAAAATAAGTCTGGTAAGACATTTGATCTTGCAAAGGATGGTAAGACCTAATTTCATTATACTCCATTCTGTGATTTTTATTATACAAAGGGAGAGGATATGTTTATAAGTACGTGAATTTTTAAAGTGTTAAAATGTCAATTTATATTTCAAATATTTTTAATTATGTATTTATTTTATTGTCATTTAGGATGCTTTGGCATATTATTCTGATCCAAACTTTCGTGGATACTTGGCTGACCCAGAAAAAATTTTGATGGCACGTGAGAAATTAGCACAGAAATATGGCTATAAGCTGCCTGATTTAACTGATGATCCTCTCAAAGATCTGTTACTGATGAGGAAAGATCCCTTACAAATATTTTATGGCCTCGAACCAGGCTGGATTGTTAATTTAGCCGACAAGTGCATTTTGAAGCCTAAAGATGAGGACTATTTGCGATATTATTCAAATGTTTATTAGTTAAAATTAAAAATGTGTGATGAGACTGACAATGAATTCTAACATGTTCTGACTTTGCCTCATAATGCCTTCAGTATTTAAGTTAACCATCATGTTAGAATTGTTTCCAAAGAAGATAAGGGTTCATCCATCCATAGATAACGAGGCGGGGGTGGTGGTGTTCCCATGTGGAAAATTTGACTTCTATGTCTACATAATAAATGGATGCCCCTAATAAAAGACAAATGACATTAAGATTATCCTGTCTCACATAGACCATAAAGAAAAAATTTGCTCCCCCCCCCCCCAAATTAAGTTAACCTAAAAAAAGAACTCAAAAGTTAAGTTGAAAAAATACAAAAAAACTAATAAAAGACAAATGACATTAAGATTATCCTGTCTCACATAGGCCATAAAGAAAAAATTTGCTCCCCCCCCCCCCAAATTAAGTTAACCTAGAAAAAGAACTCAAAAGTTTAGTTGAAGAAATACAAAATAACGACCAAATTTAAGTGTGCAGATTTAATTTTCATAACATTTGTTAATGGAGTTATGTGGACATGACTCATTTCAACATGTGAATAACCATACATTATTACAACTAATAAATTCATCTGTTCTTCAAACAAATGGCTTTAAAATTTTTAATGGGTTTTTTAAAGACAAAATTTACATAACTCCAGTTCCTTAATTTGTTTTGAACAATACAGTTTTTTTTAAAAATTGATATAAAAAACAGATGAAAACTAAACCACTGACAAAAACCTACAACAAGTATTATCTGTGTAGTTTTATATTTTTGTCTGAAATAAACAGTTCATGGAGGTGCTTGCCACTGACATTAGTTTTAGGCTTTTGATTGAAAATGGACACTAAACACTATACATTATTTCAATATATTTCCATGGCGCATTAGTTAACTTGACAATTCCACGAACTTTATAACATATATGCGAACTTTAACAATGAAATTGTATTATATGTTTGTCAAAATGTGTAAATGTTTATGATGAAATCAAGCAGATTCTGATTACCTTTTAACTACAAAGCTTCATGCCAGTGATCATATAAATAAAGTATAGAAAACGCAGGTAAAATGTGCTAACAAGAGAGGTCAATGAAATCATGCTATGATATTTCCATTCATTATGCAAACAGCCATGCAACATTAAATTGTAAAACTGATGCTGATTTTAGTTGCTAAAATTTTGAACTAGCCATTGGCATATTTATTTTTAAATTTCGACCCTGCTAAGGTGAACCTTTTATTCATTTTTATTTATATATTTCTGCGAAAACAAAGTACCAAGTAAAGGGGATAATGGCAGTTGGAAAGAAATTATCAACTGTATGTGACATTAGGTGAAGATATTTCAGAGGTACCCTTGCATTATAATTCGGTCATTCATATTGTCAATTTATGAAGTTCAAGTACATTGATTTTAGAAGTTGGCATTAACATTTACATTCACAGTATGAAAGGTTTCTTTTTAATAAGATTGTTACTACCAGTATTTTCAATATTTTCTTTAAACAATACATTTTAAAAAGTTCAAGTAATTGAGGGAAGAGAAATAGTATTAAGTTTTAAGAATAAAGTAAAGTGAAATTATATTTTATCAAATTTAAATTTATGAGTGCAATTGATTCAATTAACAGTGAAATTTAGTGAGTTTATATATTTTTCATTTATTTTTAAACCCCAAAAACATGCTTCACTTTTAGAACAATCATGAAGGCATAAATTACCCATAGTATGACACCTCTTTTCTTATTTATATTTCAACTATCAATCATATAACTATAACTATTTGAGGCTTGTCAATTCACTCACAACATTTAATTGCATATGCAGGCCTAATGTAAGTGACTGAGAAATAGCTCTACAACAATATGGAAAAACTTTAGTTTTATAAAAAGCTGGAGAGCAAATGATACATACCTTCAGAAACAAATATCAAGCATACTCTGAATCAAACATGAGTCTCAACCTCAATATATCTCACAAACAGTGATATATATTATATCAATCCCATTTTAAATAACCCACATTTATTAAAACGAAGATGAAAAAAAACTGAATTGTAAGTATTTCAGAAACAAGTTACGTTCTTGACAATAAGAACAAATAATTTCATTTTAAAAAAAGTGGAAGTTATAATTATAATAAACCTTCGTTCTTTACTTAAATTTTTCATTGAAAAACAATAAACATTATTAAGCTAATTGTAAAAAAGAATTAAGGAAGCTTCTAAAAGTATAAAAATTTTATTGATAATTTAATGTATGGTATATTGTTATAAGTTGAGAATCTCCAAACACCTGAAAGACCTGGAATCGTTGGCTTCCTAAAGTACGGTACCCAAATTAAGTTAACAAAGTTTTGTGCACAGATATAAACTGGCACACAGAAATAATTTATTTAGTATATTGACACAGTAGGTATATAGGCAAGGAATCAAGATGCACAAAAATTGGGTTTGCCCAGAGCGCAAAAGATTTCTTAAACAGCTATAAGCTTATGTTGATACTAGATCAGAATAAAACTAAATGAGCATCTGCCTTCTTTTTTCTTTTTAACCTATTTACTAATGACCTTTATAATTATTTTGGAGGTTGGTTGAATTTTTTAATAATGTACAACAATGCAGAAAAAAAATATTTTTTTATAACTATAATCGAAATAATATAAATGGTTGAAGATGAAGGTGGTTGACATGGCAGGCATTATGATTATGAGACTCAATCTAAACTTTTACTTTAGTTGGGAGATTTTTGTTAAAATATCTTCTTACCATTAGGATAGTATTTCAAAAATTAAATTTCAATAATGCTTAAACTATTTATAATGTTGATATAAGGGGTCAAAGCTTTTCAAGTCTTCTTAATTAAATAGAATTATTATTATAAAAAGGATTCTGTCCTCTAGTCTGAAAGCCATCAAGATCAGTGGTTCTCAACCTAAGGTCAATGATAAACTGTTTTGTGGTCCTCAGATTAATCCAGAAATTTAAAAAAAATCATATTTCACTTTATAAACTTGACATAGATCTTTAGTTTAAGCATGAGAAAATGTGTCAATATTATTTTTATTACAAAAATCCACACAATTATGCTAGCCACTATTATTAAACCAGCATTTATACACTTTGTCTTATATTTTTCCTTAAAGTTGCTCCACACTAAAAACTGTCTTGGTTTCTTTAAATTTATAATTGATTTCACATACTTTTTTTAAAAAATGTTTTAAAATAAAATATTTTGACAAAATGTGCTGCTTAGTGGCTTTTACTCAGTTTTGGAAGGGTATCAAGTAAATCTAATACTGAGGTCCAAAACATTTGAGAACCACTTAACTAGAAAATAAATATATATGGTAACGATAGGATTACTTATAGTAAAGAAATTTGACTCCTACCGACAACAAATAATAATTACAATTACATGTTTAATTTGAGAACACCAGCAGATACCAATTTGATCTATTTAAGTAGACTTTTTACTTCATTATTCTAATCAATTGAATTGTAAACAATGGTTTTCTGATTTAGAATTTTGCCCAAAAATGGTACCTGATTGAAAATCTGCAAGGCAAAAAAATATATTAGCGGATATTTATGTACAATAAAAACATTTGAAAAAGGTAAAATGGTACAATGTACAAAAATATTACATTAAAGATGTAATATTTTAAACTGCATATTTTCAGCTGTACATTTCTGCAAAAAAATTAAATATATTTTTTGGATATGCAACTGAGCCTTCTGTCATCTCTAGTTGGTTATAAAATTAATCATGCCCCCATACAGAACATGACAAACAGCACATATGTCACACCAAAAATTAATGTTTGACTGTTAATAAATAAATACTTGTTAAATCTGTGAGAATTATCATGGACAGCCTCCTATGTAAGTCTGATAGTTTAAGTCCTTGTTCTGTAACTCGCCCTGATAATTTATCCCATTGTTTTAAGAGCAATAAACCCTACTGTCTATGATGAATGCATGAGATCAAAGCATTTAATGAGACATTCTAAATCGCATATTGTTTTTGTTTAATGCACAGATTTTAACTGAATAAAAAGGAGAAAGATTTCATGAAAGATACAAAAAATTCAATCCAAACATTATTAAAAAAAAAACTAGAATCATTTATTTATGTGACAGGGATTACATATAGTAGAGAATAAATAGGGTGAGCATATATGATACAACAGATTTGCATCAGAATATCACAGCACTAATAACAATGCTGGTGGGAACACAAAAGTGAAAGTTTAAATTTAAAGAAAGAAAGCAAAACATTGTAGGTGAGTTAAATTTATGACTCAGTATCAGAGGTTTGTTTATTCAGTGACACAGGTATCCGGTACTCATTCGATAAAATTTAGGTATAAACATTTCAATTAACAAATACAAGTAGGACAAATGGAGCCAGCAGATTCTCTCAACTTCAACTAATTCTTGTAGATATGTTTTAAAAATGTGTTTGTAATTTAATAAAAATTGCTGGGGACATGTTTCAATATATAAATTATTAATTCAATTGAACAATGGAAAATGCATTAAATATAATTTGTTAGCATTATAAAAATATACCAACTCGGAATACAGATACCCACTGGGAATACAGAACATTTCAAATCACTATTAAGTTCATTACAACTAGCATATTTTTACCATCAATTGTTTCAATTTGCTACTTATGTTAATGAATATATTTGATTTTGACTGAGCAATGGTAAGTTATGTACAGTTGGTTAACCTCAAATTTACAGTCACACAAAAGAAAGCAAAATGGACCCCCGCCCGTTGCAAGGGCTGGTCCCCGGCGAGACACTGAATTGAGCTACCGAGCTACTACAATTACCGCTTGTAAGCTTTTCCACACAATATTCAGTACCATTCAATGTAAAAAGCTGATATGCAAATATTAACAAAATGGGTTATTTTAAATCATTCAACTTTATGTAAAGGAGATAAGCAAAGATAAATATCTATAAGATCATTTGAAATTTTGTAAACATTGAACATTAACTCTGTCATAATGTGAACCTAAACAGTTGTATACTTAAACATTAGATTGGACATGTCTGTCCCTGACAAAAATGTATCAACAATAAGAATTTGTAAAACAGGATCACTAGACCTCAACCAAAAAATTTAATCTGTGTAATTCCAAATATGTGCAATCTGCATTCCCCAAGCACCCCCACCCCTGCAACCTACGCCACACAGCCATCCCTTTCCAAGGGGACAAAATTATATAGGAAAAGAAAAAACAACACATACTTCTCATGTTATACATTATCAATATTAAGTAAATTAACAAAAATCTTCATTTGGCCTGTTATTGTTATGGAAGAGAGCATAAGTTGAGGTAAATAATAAAGAGAATTCAAATTTTATTGAGGAAAAAATTGAACATTATTCCATTCTTAGTTTATAGATTCTTGAAGTTTGTTTGACGGCCAAGCTTGTTTTACATGTTTCAGGTTTGAAAATATTGGCCAAACAAGCTTTACAAATGGAACAGAAATATTTCTTGCAAGGCTATTCATCAAATCATATTAAAAAGCCAAACATTAAAGTGAAAAGCAAAGACTGAAAAAATAAGCATGAGTGAAACACAAACAAAATCTAGTCTGACAGACCTGGTTTTAAAAATATGCTAGGTTATTTCAAATATCTTTACACATACAAAAGAAATGTGCTTGTGATAATGATGGTCTTGGGAATAAAACAATTACAATCTTCATCTCAACAGATGACTTTGAACTTTATGTGTATGTCATTAAAGTATTCTATGACATAGGTTTAATAGAAAAGTTAATATAACACAGCAAGACATCATATGAGAAGTATATGCAAATGGCAATTTAAAACCAGCTGCAAGACCATCAAGTAAATGGCATCAAGTTGTATAAGGTAAAGATTTAAATTTTAATGTAGAAGTTAATATGTGAAAACTACAATTTATTTCATGCATGTAAATAAATGTTTCAATTGATATACAAGTTTATATATGCAAAGCTCTTAACTAAAGTTTATACAAAAAAATAGTAATTTGTATGGTATGTCAATGTCACAGATGTGAAATGTATCACTACAAAAATATTAAAATGCCAGAACAAATATAGTATTGGCATAGCTGGGAATAATAATTAACATAGGCTTCGATTGAACTTAACTATTAAGGGAAGCCCTAGCTTGGTAGAGAAGCTTTTCCCATTTTTTCCTTGCTGTGTTCAGATTGCTAGAGTTACAAGTAAAAGACTTTCAGATTTGGTTGATTACAGCAAATGGACATTAAAAACAAGGATTCTTTTGTAAGCCAAACACATGCTTATTAGGACACAGGACAAAGAATAGATCCAAACTTTGTTAACAGTATTGAAGGTTCCTCCTGTCCAGTTCTGGTCCTAATAGCTAGATGTAATTTTGTGAGGTGCAAGAAGAATTAATTCTATTTTTAAAACATGTGACACAATGGGAGGAAAAAATAAGGACATCTCTCAAAATGTTTAATAAGAAATGGCAAACCGAATCTGATAGCAAAGCTCCTCTTAAGCACATGTATTACAATTTCAACAACAGTTTTAGCTTCTGTGGAAATGTTAGGTTCCTCTTTCTCATTTTCTGGGATTCTGAAAATCAAGATAAAAAGTTTTTCCATGCACAAATCTGTTTGGACAGTTCAACAGTTTCAATAACATACATAATTTTAGACAATAAATAATAATTATTGAAACAGTTTTATTTTAATGAACACTTAATCATTATTTTCAAAGGAGTTAAATTTAGTTAATTTCAGGTTACATTAATTTTTTTTTTAAAACTATCTTTTATTAGATTATAATGGAGTACTGGACTCTTGTTGCAGGCCAGCACATTCATTGATATATAAGAATATGTTACACCTTTTTAAAAATCTCTTACATCTCATTGATCCATCAGGCAGCTTTAATGCTTGTACAAGCTCCTCTTTGCTGTACTTCTGGTCACTATTGGTGTCTGCTAACACAAAAGCCTCATTATCTCCATCTATTCCATGCTTTTTAAGTTCCATTAGATCAACTGGTTGTCCATTAGAAGATAATTCTTCCATAAGTTTATTCAGTTCTGAAGAGATGGAAGAAATGTGTTAACTAATACTAAATATTGAAATTTATTTTAAACTTAAGACTTAGGGTCCCAAACTTTCTCAATTCTCTGTGACCTTGCCGAATCCAAGTTTTTCCATGGCGCCTTATAACAAATTCTACAAAGAAAACTGTTAAATAGCAAATATTTTTTTAAAACATATTAACATGTTGGTATATTGAAATAAATCATGTATGTAAGATCACAAAAAAAAGTTTTTAAAAAATATGCAACTAATTAAATTAGTGGCATTTTGATCCTCTTACATTTGCTCTAATCTGTTATTTCCTATCACACTGAATTGAAAATTTAAATAAAATCATGAAAATTGTGTAACCTTACAGGGCAACCTTGTGAGAAAACCTCAGCGCACTCTTTGGAAGCCAATACTTTAGGACATTCCCTTTATACCGTGGGCATTGCATAGTGCTATCTTTTCTCAGAGAATATTTCTTAACACATTAAACAACTGGTTCCTACACTTTTTTTTTCATTAACCCTATGTTTCATTGACAGACCTGTTTACCCCCAAACTCCTAAAATCGTACAATATCGTCTCAAAATCGTACAATGCAGTATTTTGATAGTAAATAAATAAAAATACAGTACATATAATGTATACAAAAACTACTCCTATAGCGTGTTCAGTAGAATCGAGCTGAGCTGGCGTCAAAATATGGAACTGTAGGTAAACAGTAGATGACTGACGTTAACTGTTAACTGCGGTCACTTTGTTTTGCAGACGTGTATCGGCTAGTACAATATATTAATTAATATTTGGGTTAACGTTCTGATCACATTATCCCAGTCTGTCACAGGTAAAAATAAAGTCACCGGTGAAATTTAACGTTGTTCAAACTTGACGTCAGGTGGGCAGAAAATAAAATGTATTAAAATAAGAATGAATTACCCGGTAACAAATTGGGACCCCCCCACCCCTTTTTGTGTGTATGGTACAGTGAGCTTTAAAACACCAGCCCAGCCCCCCCCCCCCTTCCCCATAAACTTAACAAATTCCATTGTATATCATGATGTTACAGTCAACAAAATGTGACACGGGTTTTTACCACTGGTGATTCGGCCAGCCCAGTGGTTCCCAGAATAAACGCCACATCGCCCTGGCT